GATGCTGCTTGGCCTGCTGTGTTCATCCAGCTCTACACCTTTTGTTCAATAGTTTCTTATAACATATTAAGATTCTTAGGTTTGATGTTGTAAACAATTGATGTTACAGTTTCAATGGAAAAATTTAGCACCATGTTTTAAGATCCAGTAAGGGACTGTTAAAAGTTAGATTTTAAAATTTGTTTACTTTAATCAATGGTATTAAAGGACAAAGCCACAATATTCAATGATATTAAGCAAACAGGTGAACTTTTGCTATTTGAGTTAACAAAGCAACAGTCATTACCATCCATGCGATACGCTAACATGTTGAATTAACATGAATTATCCAAAAAGCTGGGGTTTAATATACACTATAGGTTGGAAAAGATTATTACCGTTTAAACACTTAAGCCTGCCAATTTGCCATTCCCCACATATATTATGTCCCTACAACTTGCATTTCAAAACCCATAGCATGCAACTGCAGCTCTGAAAAGTAAACCAGCTGACAATGATAACTTGTACATAGATCTCCCTGAACTCCTTCAAACTGCCCCATGAGGGACGAAATTGTCATCCTTGATTGATTTTCAACATCAGAATTGGCCAAACTGGCATGGAAGGGAATACTCCTAAACTAACAGTTGGAAACCACAATGAAAACATATATCAACTCTTGGAACCTTGTACAGAAAAGCAACTACCCATAACCAGCATCTCCTTCCAACACAGATGTGATGCATCCCCATTCTAAACACTGGCACCTAATAGACTACATCTCAGTGCACCAGTGTGACCTAAAGGACATTGAGTACTACAGCCATGTCCAGTGTTGATTGTCATACAGAGCACCAGCTCTTTCACTCGAAGCTGAACTTTCACTTCAAACCGGAGCCCAAGAATGGGCCTAGCGAGAACCCAGCCTAGATATTGAGGCAGCAACATGCCAATCTCATCATTTCAGAGAGCGATATTAAACAACCTTACAGACTAGACTGGAGCACCCTGATCTGTGCTGATTCCACTCCAGGAAAACTCTGGGAGCACACAGCTGCAGTACTGGCTCCTTCCCTTGAGGTTGTTGGGTCCAGCATGAAGAACAACAGGGACTAGTTTGAAAATAGCAAGGAACATGAATAAAATGCTCAAATCATTAGGCTCTCCTGGCTCAGCTGGCCAGCCAAGAAAAAGACAGTTGACCATCAAGCACACAGCACCCTCCAGTGTAAACTTAGGAAATCAAAAATGACTGGTGGGACCGCACTTGTGGGAAAAAGATATCAACTGTACATTAATACTGGGGAAATATGAAGATTTTGGTGCTTCATAAAAACTATCTGCGGACCAACATATCAAACTCAAAGCCCTTGAGGAGCGCCAGTGGCAGGACACTCCACTATATATTAGGAGGTAGTCGCTGAATCTTGGTCAGGGCACTTTGAAACATTCTTCAGCACCAAGTGCACAGTATGTGATACGGCCTTCCAACTGCATCAAGCAAAAGCCTGTCAATGAAGGACTGATGAAAGCCTCGCTCTGCAGGAAATTGATCGCCATCAACCAAATGAAGAGCAACAAAGCCTCTGGATTCATCAGAATTCGATCTGAAGCCTTATTGGGTGATAGTCGTACCTTGCATACCCACCTCTTTCTTGGCCTGCCGGGACCAAGGTAGGATTCCACAGGATCTGTACTGGAGCCACTTGATCCAGGTTACGTAAAAACAAATAAGTCATATTGGTCCAACTACTGTGGAATCCTTCTCCTTTCTACTGTTGGGAAGATCCTGGCTTGAATACTTCAAATAAGCTTGTGCCTGCCAATGGGAAGAAGATCTCACAGCAAGCCAGTTTTATTCCAGAGCAAACAGTGACACTACAGATGCAGTAATTCATGGTAAATACAGAATAGTTTTGTGAACAAATCACAAACATCTACATCACTTTTCACTAGATCTCATTCAGCACCCCCAGCCCACCTCCAATAACCCCACACTAATGTTCCTGGAGACAGTGAAGCAGTTTATCAGCAATCCTTATGGACAGGTCAAGCGCAGGAGCAACCTGTGAAGTCCCTTCAGAATCTCCAAAAGCTGTGAAGCAGGGATATGTGCTAGCCCCAGTTTTATTCACCATCATCTTCAGCATGATGCTGCAGCAGGCAACAGAAAACCTTCAGGCAGTTTATGCACATGGACTGATTTGCCTCAGGTTGAAGAAACCGCAAAAGACATAGAGAAAACTCCCCAGTCCTGTGTTCAAATTTTCCTGTCATTATCTTCCGATCCCTCTCCCTCTCCCCACACCAAATGCGGGTACAATGCAGCCTCAGAACCTGTGGACATAGTTTAAAAGTAGAGTAAAATCCTAACGCGTGACTCTTCAGTCCAAAAGTAGCAGGCTCAGCTGATTAATCCAAATTCACATTCCAAGGAGGAGAATTTTGGTGGACCATATCTAAAGATATGCTTGAGCATTTTATTTCTCCATCCAAAGCCACCCTTTAGCAATAATACATCCAGAAGTCTTTTTGAAGTTAAAGCAGAATTAAACTCTGAACCACAATGGTAATAGTACAGAAGATGGCCAGAAGTTTGTAAGTCACCACTTAATGCACCATCTTTGGTACAATGATACTAGGTACAGAATCTTAGGTACAAAGCATAAAAATTAGGAAAACGAAGTTTTAAAAAGTTTAAACATTAAAGCCTTTACTGAAAGGTAGAAAAGCAAAGAAACACAATTAACAGTTCAACACCATGGTCCATAAGCACCTGGCCATGCTGGGCTTGCATTTCTCACAAGGGCTGGAGCCACCCCCCACCCCCCAATCATCCCGCTCTAGGCTCGATCTCGCCTCCTCTCTCAGGCTGCCTGCTCCTGTTCTCGTCCCGGCCAGCTCAGGTTGCCTTCTCTCACTTTTGGCTCGCCATCATCACCGAAGGAAAGAAAAAGATGAAAGAGGAAAGAAGAAAGAAGGATGCGGCCAACCCAGTGCTGGTCAGCAGATAAGCTCAGGAGCCGCTGCCGCCATCTTGGATCCTTAAGGAAGAAAGTAAGTCAGAGTTTAGAGAGGGATTTGCAGAACTTGGGGCCTAGATATCTGAAGACGGGATTGACATAGTGGAAAAAATTAAAATTTGAGGTGTGCAAGAGGCTACGATTAGATGATTGTGTAATTATCTTGGAGGGCCATCAGATTAGAGGAGGTCACTGAGACAATAAGGGGCAAGACACTGGAGGAATTGCCAATGGAAAAAATTAGAATATTTTAAAAAAAAAGGCATCTAATTAGCACAACAGTAATGTCAATAATTTTTAGTTTGTTTTCAAAAATTAAAACTTGTTTATAAGAAAACATGTTACAACTCCCGTCACCTTTTTTTCAGTTATATGACCGTGGTGGAAGCTCTTCCGACTTATGGCATTCATTACTATGGAGTAAAGGTTGGTCTTTAAATGTGATTCCTTGGTACTGGTTACTGATATGCTCATGATTTTTGTTGACAATGTGGTTACATTTTGAGGAAAGTTTATTCATTTCGTATTGTGAACCTAGGTTTTCTGTTTCTCCCGCTCCGTCACCACTGGGGTTTTATCCCCATCACCATGAGTTAGTTTTCCTCCAGAGATTTTAATTCTTCACAGGAGTTTTTTTGCACATGAAGCACTTATTTTCTCTCTTTTGTTCTCTCTTCTTTTTCGTCCCCTTGTCTCCTGTCCTTTTCTGCAGTAACACAAATTGGATTACAACTCCACAGGCGCTAGTAGTTCCTCCATGCCTTAGAAAAGTAAGCACTTAAATAACCTGTTACCACTTCGCCATGTCATAAGTACTTTACTGCCAAGAGAGATATAATATAGGGAAATTCTAACGTGTATAGGCTTCTCAGAATTATTGCAATGCAGAAGGGGACCATTCAGCCCACTGCCTGCACCAACGGTCTGAATAAACTCTTGGTCCTATTTCATTAATTTTGACTGTAATACTCCACATTCTTCTTATCTGATGACAAACTCATTGCCTTTATAGATGCCTTGAATGAACCGACCTAAACAACAAATTTGTTTGTAAAATTGGTGCCTTTCCACTCTTGATTCTTTCACTTCGTCTTGTATCTCCCTAACTGATCTGTCCTGCCCCCTCGTGATTTTGAATATCAGTTTCAAATCTTTCAGCCTTCTATTGTCCAAGGGAAACAGTCCAAAATTCTTCAATCATAGCTAAAGTCCCTCATCCCTGGCTCATTCTAGTGAGTATCTCCTGCACTGTCTTCAATGTTCTCATATCTTTGCTAAAATGTGGCTCCCAAAACCACATGCAGTACTTCAACTGAGGCTGAATTAGTCTGTACACAAGGTCAACATAATCTCCATCTTACAACCTACATAGCAAGCCCAGTGTTGCCGTGGCACGTTACATCAATTATCACTGCAAAATATTTGAGTTAAGGGATCTCAAGACAAGGCAACTGAAGGTGTAAGTAACAGTTGTACTGCTGCGGTTCTGAGTAAAATCTGTGCACGCAGTATGTATTGAGCTGTAGCTGGGACATTTTGCCATAAAGATTTAACAACATGTCACCCATGAAATTGTTAAGGGGGGGGGGGGGGTGGGGAGGAAGGTCAGAATTCCTATTTTTTTTTTCAAAAACCGATCATAATCCACAAATAAACTTCATATAGTCCATGCTTCTTCATTTAATCCCATAAAAATAACACAAGCCCAAAGGCTGTATTTTTACTTACTGTTATCTATTTGTATTTCTTGTGTTAAAAGCTGTAAAGTGGGACCAAGTATTATCCAGAGTTGTTATTAAAACATCAACTTTTTAAAAAAAAAACATATGGCTATGGAGCTATTATTCTTTGTAACCAAGCTACAGAAGTGTGTGGCATGTAGGTGTACTCCATCTCAAGTAGTGGCAAATGGAGGATAATTACTGTCAAAGCTGTAGATGATGTAAAGTTCAACAATGTAGTAATTATGAAAAAGGTGATATAATTGAAATGGTGATCTGAATTGATGTAACTTTTTCAAGCATGCTGGATAACGAATATATGAGTCCTCAACAAGACAAAATATTTGTGATTATATTTTATTGGACTTGTTGGTTGAAATACAAGTGAGTGTTCCATATTTTAATGTAAACAAAGATTGTCTACAATCCACATTGATATCTATTTCAAATGTTAATTGTTCACCCTCCATTTGATTACTTGCAATGATCTACTAAATACAGGAGATGGATTTAAATTGCCTTAGTAAGGGACTACATAAGCATGGCATTCCAGAGGGGACGTGAGCCTTTTCTGAACAATTCTAAATAATAATCATATTCAATATTAATTATACTGTTGCAGTACTGCAGCTAGTGTTCTTTTAGCTCACTTTTTTTTTTTTGTCCAATCTGACTTGAACCAACCTCTAACTGTTCTCAAAATATCCGCCCGAACCGAGGAATTTCATCAACCCGTCAGCAAAACTGATTCCTTTGGGCCCACATTTGGATTTCTTGATTGATACTACGTGGTGTTTGGAGAAAGTACAAACTGAGATATTATGGCTCAACTTTGTCAGCCACCTTGTTCAAATTCAGGCATGTTACACTTTATTTCTTGCCATTTAAAACATTAAATATAATATTTGGACACGCAGTTGCATTGCAGTTCTTTGTGCAAATGATTGCAACAACCAACATTAGCAAGAAGACGAGTTACGAAGAGTAAAATTTATCTGAGTAAATAAGACCGTGTAAGATCAGTTGCTAATGTTTCAATTATTTATGAAATATTTATTATGTAACAACATTTCAGTCCAGTATTAAGTTAATATTTTACAGAAGAGTTTCAGATTGGAATTTGAATGAAGGAAACCAACAGCATTCGCTTGTTTTTGGATCCGAAGAAGTTATGGGCACTGCAGTTTCCTCCAGTTTTGAGGCATTTCCAAAAACATAGGAACATGTAAATACCAAGTAATGCACTTAAAATGTGACTGTAACTGCAGGATCATAGATCAACTAGAAGCCTGTCTTGTGCACAATAAGCATTTAAGACTGAAAATAGTTTCATTTTCATTTATTTTTGCTCAACAATTTATCAAGTTGAAACGTTTGGGAATGGAACTCAATCACCAAATTCATCAGGTATTCCCATCCAGTTTTGTACAGCCGAATGCAGAGTCTTGATTCCTCTACCTAGACTCGGCAATGTCCATTGATTTAGGATGATTTTTGCTGTATGACCACTGCTTTATGATTTAAAATTTTAGGACTCTTGTCAAGGCAATTTTTATCCCTTCAGTCTAGTCTAGATTTGGAGCCCTTGCCCAAGATCAAATGGTCAGAATCCAACTGCAGCCCCCAACTGCTGTGCCATTTTCTTGATGTGTGCAAATAGAAATTGTTGGGTCAACTGAACAGTCATAACATACATTGCGGTGGTTTTGTTTTAATTAAACATATGATTGTAGTGGACTGTGAATAATAATTTTTCAAACAAAAACCAAAAACTGTTCACTGGTGATTATCAGATATGATGGCAGTGTCCTGTGAAGCATGTATTAGTCTAAGGAAATGTTCATGATGTTTGATGTCACTGACCAAAATCTATTGCTGGTTGTTGAATGAAGTAGACAACTTCTTAATAAGGTACTTAATACTTCCATTCTTATTTTACTTTTCAGGATAAACAAGGAATTCCCTGGTGGCTTGGCATTGGCTGTAAAGGAATTGGGCAATACGACTTTCATGACAAAGTCAAACCCAGAAAGGTAAGTCAGTTGTTTCCCCTCAAGTGTATTTATGCGCAGATGGTTTATACAGAAACTAAGCCTGAAGCTGACAACTGAATTTAAGTCGCCTGAATTGAAAAGCCTTTCTTCTCGACATCCAATGCATTGCAAAAGAATGTTGTCCTCCTGTAAAGGTGTCAAGTAAACTGTTTCTCAGTAAAACACATGATGGTGTGTTATGTTGTGAAAACATATCAAGATTAAATGATGTAATGTTCATCACAGCAAAGAAGATTGATTGATTACCTTTAAAACCAAACCATCAGTTTGTGCCAGAAGTAAGAGTAGGGTGAGTCAGTTTTTTATTGTTAGCCAGAATTTTAGTCAGGGATTGATTCCAAAAGGGAATTTTAAATCCCCTGACTTTTCTTAGCTAACTATTCAGGTAGGTCAGGTGGAACCACCCAAAATCTCTGACTCAGTGCTCAGAATTGGGGACGTTTCAGAGTTCAAGATGTTGGCTAACTGCCCTTCACAAGTTATGACTTCTCCAGCCGTTCCCACAGGTATGATTGCATCAGGACCTCCACACGGTGCTGTTACACACTTCTTGCCAACACTGCTGCAACAACACTGTCTTTCTTTTGGAAGATCCGGGCCTGAACGTGGCACAGTACCGTACATTGAAACTCAGTACCCCAGCACCTCCATCTTGGTAATTAAATACATACCCCTTCCCCCTCCCAATCTATTGCCATTTGGATAATCTACCTTGTTTTTCTTTTCCTAGCTAGCAAAATGTTTATGCTTGCATTTATCCACATTATACTTCATCTGCCTTGCATTTGCCCATGTTCAATCACCCTGCCTTCGGAGGCAGAAAATTCCAAACTTGCACTGAGTGAAAAAAAGTTCTCCTCTGCCCAAAAACAATACTTCCTACTTCTAGGTCAATCCGTTAGAGGAAACATCCTTTCCATGTAGATTTTGCCAAGGCCATGTAGGATCTTAAATACCTTAAACGTGTTGCCCCTTCCACTTTTTAACTCCAGTGGAAACTAATCCAGCCTGTCCAAACTTTCCTCAAGACAACCTGCTCATTCCAGCTATTGAGCTGGTCCCAAGGCATTTTATTCTTCATTAAATAAGGTGATGAAAACTGCATGCAGCATTCAAGGTGTAATTCAACAACACCACTGACGCATAGCATCCTTACTTTTTATGTTCTATTTCTTTTGCACTAAAAGATAGCCTCCTATTAGCCGCCTTGCAAATATGTTGTATCGACATGGTACCAATTCGTGACTCATGCAGAAAAACACACAAATTCCTCAGCACCTTGGAATTCTGTAGTTCTTCTCCATTTATGTTATACTCCGATTTTTCATTCTTCTTGCCAAAATAAATACCTACATATTTCCCCACATTAAACGCCATCTACCAGATTTTTGAATACTCACCCAATCCTATCGATGTCCATCTGAAACTTTCTTATGCCTTCTTCATAACATACTTCCCTTCCTATTTTGGTGTTGTCTATAAATTCACCTATTATGCCTTGGCTATCCTCCTCTAAATCATTAATATAAATTGCAAGAAAGTTGAGGGTCCAGTGCAGACATTTGTAGGATTCCTCACCATGTCCTGCCATCCGATAAAGACCCATTTGTGCGCATTCTGGTTCACTGGCTGTTAGAAAACAATCGTCTGTCAGTGTTGCCCACATGATATTTTAGTTTCTGCAATAATCTTTGTGGCATTTTATCATATGCCTTCTGGAAATCCAATTACAGTACATCAGAAGGCGTGTGGTTACAAAGCTGCAATACATCACTATACCTGGAGAGCTTAGTTCACATTGTGCAAGGCTAGAATGAGAAATCATAAATAATTTAAAAGTAGCCACATAAATCGAGAAATTATTGCATTAATCAATACTTAATTATGAATTTAATTTTTTATCTGCAGTGCATGTTACTCCTTCAAAAACTCTTCTTTTAAAAAAAAAAATTAGTTAACATGATTTCTGTTTGACAAAACCATGCTGGTTCTTCCCAATTTACCTTGAATTTTTCTTCGAAGTGCAGAGCTATAATCTCTTGAAATAATAATTTTCTCTGCCAGAGAAAGGGAAGAGGCTCTATTCATACTGATAAATATGGTACTTCTTGTTGCTTTTTGCTTTCTGAATTAGTTGAGCTTAGTTTGTAAGGTGCCAGCAGCAGGAATGTAATGTTGTAAGAGTTCTATTCACAACTTGTCTTCAATTCAGCTGCACTGATAGAAGTTCCACATTACAAATGGACTGGAGTTTTTTGCTGGTGTTATGTTACATGCTGTTTCATTACATGCTGTCGCTTAGAATTTAAAATGTTACTTGGAAATGTAGCAGCATAAAAAATGTTTTAAGAGCACGTTGAGTGACCATTTTAAGTAATGGTGTACATGCTGCACCAGTATTAAAGTACTTTGTTCCCCGATCAAAAGACCAGTGAGAAATGTAATTATGAAATTTGCTGTAACTCTGGACAGCTTTTGAAATGTTTGTTCAGATTAAAATAAGATTGGGCTCTGGATTGGGAGGGTAAAGAAACCGTTGCCTTGACAATCCAGGCATCAAGCTGGTGAGCCCTGCATGGAGGGATCCCATTCATCAATTAACTGCACAAATAAAGAGACAATGGTCCAATGAGTCTGTAAGTCCTTCAATTCAGAAGTGTGGTGAAATATAATTGGCTACGCAACACTGCCAAAAAAAGATGTATTGTTCAGTACATTAAAAGGGTAGAAATGTGCTGTCACATGGGAAGTTTGTAATTTGAAAATTATATTCATTATTAAAAACCAGACCTGCTGAGCCTCTGTGGAAATTTCTGTTGTTTCTGATTTTCATAATTAAGTTTTGATTAATGCAAGTGAAGTCTTATCTCTCGATTTTTATGTTGATGAATTCGAATTCAAAAATACTAGCCTTGCATAACGTGAACTAAGCACTTTAGGTAAAGTGATGTATTGCAGTTTTGTAACTACAGTGGGTTCAAAGCGCTGAGTTCCACACGGAGTTCCAGTTGCCATTCGCGGTTCATTTGTGGTAATTAGATTTGAAGAACTTAATCATATTTCAAATGTATCTTTATCTGCCCAGAACTTAGTATATGAAATCTGATATTATTTAAACTGTTATTGTAGTTTTCTGTAGTTACTTCAATCTTCACTTTATAGAATGTTTGTTTGTTTGTTTGTTTGTTTGTTTTTAATTCTGAAAATTCAACACTTTTTCAGACAAAATGCATTTTAACTACGACAGTTTCTTTTTACTTGGTAAGGGCTCAAACTGCTCTATGGCATAAATTTAGTTTTCAAGGTCCAAATAGTGATAGGAGCGGAGAACATAGGTTTATATGATTATACAATACAGAAGAAGAGCTGTTTGTCAGAGGTATTCCCTTTTGGGTTAAACGTTGGGAAAGCATGAAGAGCAAAAGATTGTTGTCCGAGTTTTCAAACCTTTCCACAATATTCCTAACGCCAGACACTTCCCCCATTTCTGTAAGTGCCTTCAGCCTCTCAACCAGTGTAATTATCATAGGAAAGAGTGGTATTATGATAATGTCAATGGACTTGTAATCCAGAGACCTCTGCTCTGGGGCATGGATTTGAATCCCACCATACAGTTGGTGAAAGTTGTTGTCTATTAATAAATCTGAAATTCAAAGTTACAAGTGACAAGGGCAGCCTGGTGGGTCAGTGGTTAGCACTGCTGCCTCATAGCGCCAGTGACCCGGGTTCAGTTCCACCCTCGGGCGACTCTCTCTGGAGTTTCCACATTCTCCCCATGTCTACATGGGT